TACACATCTTAATATAGACATTTGATTTTTGAAATTACTTTCTTCTTCTGCGGATTAAATTAATTTTTTTTCATACATATTGTAGGCTTTTCTGGTATTTCATTGAAAACTATCTTCCCCGAAACATGTTTAGCTCGAATGAAACACGCGCTCTCGAGGGATGGGCTCTATCAATTAAATAAGGCAACGCAATAATTAGACAATATGACAAGGAAATATTTTCCAGAAAGACTTTATGGTAAAGTGACACGTAATTACATATTTGATACAAGAAAAAAAAAACAATAAACAGTATCGTCTTCGGTATAGGTAACGTCGTTACCTTTAAAAACTCGACTATAACATAAATTAAAGTAGCATTTAATTATTATATAACTATTGTCAAAATGTACACAAATTATGACTCGGTTTTAAATGAAAATGTGCTGTAACTAGTATACAACATAAATTAAATTTTCCAAGCCCGAGGGAAGAAATGGGAGAAATTAACTCTCATTGTAGTGCGAAGTTAGTTTTCTATAACAGGCAGACTGTGAATCACGTGGCAAAAAACTCTGATTTTGATTGGCATTACTCGGCGCTAGTTATTTTACAGATATATACGCATAGACATTTGATTATTACGTACAGTACCGCATCGAAAACTGCAGATTAAGAAAAATACAGGTATTCATCATGTGTCTGTTGAGTTCGTTCCAAGTTCTGTTAAGTTTAGTTATTATTACTCTTTTTGTGATATATTCACTACGAAAGAAATGGAGAAACAGAAGGAAACAACAGGAAAATGATTCGACTTCGAACAAATATAAAGAGAATTCGTCTGTATCTGGAGGTAAGTCAATGATTGAATATTTTTCGTTATTTTAATTTTTAAAATATCATTAATTTAACACGAAAAAACAGATTTCTTTTTCCTATCTATCCACCTTTAAATAAAAATAATTCGTTATACATTTTGAAATAATTTAATAACTTCTTGTAAATTACTACAGTATGTTTAACCCAACCAGTTATATTTGATGTTTTTCATTTATAAAATTTAATCCATGAATTTTTTTTTTGCTAGTAAAATTGACTTTCCATTTATCTTTCGCCTATAATTGATATTTTTTAATAAAATCTATATAAATGTCTATAACAGCTTCTATAAAACTGTGTAATGCTTTTATGGCCAACTGTCGGTAAATAATTTCATGCTCTTTCTCTTGAAATGCTTCAAAATCTATTAGAATCGCATTCTGTAATTTTATATAAATAAAAATTAGGATTAGTATTATTTTATATTTAATAAGAAAATAACGAAAAGATTTCATAC